CAAGTCAGTCAGGAGGAATGACCCCATACAAAGCCTTTGCCCAACGATTTACAGAGTACAATGGGCTCAAAAGACGCCAGCTCCTCGACGGTTCTTCTACTGAAGAAAGGTGATGCTGAAGACTAACCGCAACTATCCACCCATTACTCTCCTGTCACAGGTTTACAAGGTCTTGACCTAAATCATCGTCGACAGTTTTTGGAAAGACCTGGAACAAGGTTCTCAATCTTAAACCACATCCACACGGTAAACAGTTAAGAGAGATTCACCAAGAATACTAATTGTTATATGCTATGCATTCATAAACTTCAGGAGAGTGCTCGATTTCATCAATATACTGAGCGCCTTGCACCTCTGCGGTATAAACCCCATCTACGCTGACCTGACGGAGGTACTGAGGACTAACACCGCAATTGGCATCAACCTGTTTGAAGACTGTGTTGAATGAGAATCAACAGAAGGGTATGCCGTAGAGACACCACCTTCCCTATGCTTTTAGCGACCTTGCTGGAATCCCTCTTTAACCCTCTGTTAGAGGGATTAAGATCGACGGAGAATGGATCATGAATCTGCTCTTTTTTGCAGATGGCATAATTACCTTCGCCAAAGACCCTGTTGAACTCCAAATAAAGATTGTGCAGTTGCAGTAGGAGGATGGGCCGCTGGTCTAGAGATGAGCATTTCACTGATGCGCAACGAGCATTGCTCAACGGGCACCGTGTTAATTGACTGTAAAGAAATGGTACACCATCAAGGCGGAGGAAAAGAAAAACTAATAGTGACTTTAGGACGACGAAATGAAGATTATGCACGGTTTCCCTTCGAGACCATATTCCATAAACGATAGTTCGGTGTCTGACACGTTTCTTGGATGTACTCAGCGCCACCTACGACTGGAAGAGACGATTGTCTGGCATATGTCTCTTTGAGAAACAGATCGCGACCTATCAACTGGCCCCTCCTCGACAAACAGACGTCCATTCTGACGTCCACCAACACACTGGGACGAGCCAATGACGAAGCTGTGTGGTAAACGGTGGAAACAAAGGGCACAACACTAAAAAAGTGGGGTGACGTCGACTTACGTTTGTGGCGCGGCGGCCATTGACGAAAACAAGTCAGATAGAAGGATGCATAATTTAGCGCAGTAATCATTTGTTCGTTCCATTATTTACGGTGGTTTTTCTCAGTTATCAGGGGGACAAAGGCGAATTTCAGCAGTACAGCATGCTCGTAACTTTCACTCTTTACGACTCTGGCATAAACCAACCAGAACACCCGCTGCCCCTGATGTTCACAGGTCAACGGCTTTCCACCGGTCTTTCGGCTGACTACGTCGAAATGCTGTAGGTTGGATTCACTGCAAGTGAATTAGCAGGTAACGTGAAAATTTTACAGTAAGTATGAAACAGAACTCGCCCTGGTAGACTGCAAATCTGAACGATTCACCTCTCGGACACTGCCTCCCCCTCGATCCAATCACCTTCACTTGTGACTCATGCTCGTGTTGCAGTGTCTCCTTAAGAGTCATCAAGTAAATCACTGCCTCGCAACGATAGAGCGACTTAGAACATTTTATTGGCCAAAACAAAACCTTGCTGATCGCCGGTAATGTTTCTTACTCAAACGTAAAATGTAGGTTCACATGGATCAAAACGTTATTAATTTTCGATAAAAGGAAACAAGGAAAGTTTACCACCATTGGAATGTCCGACTTCCTTCACTTTAATAACCGGGCCATTTTGGGGCCCTTATTTTCATAATGTTGACGGTGCTGATCTCCGTTTCAGTGCCTTCAGCCAGTACTGCCTCACGTTTTAAAGGCAGAGTCAACAGCCATGTAACAAGCGTAGTCTGTAGTCTCCTGTGTTCTTCCCACAGAGTGGTACTCATTTATCATCCTCAGAGGGAAAATTGGCGAATGACCCTGACAGGGGCTTGACTCGGAACCTATAGATTCTGAGTTAGACGCTCTACCGACTGAGCAAACCCGATCTGAAGAACTGTGTGGTAAATTTGTTGCTCAGGGAAATTTTCACGAATAAGACAAAGACTGTTTTCGAGAGGGGTCGAACCGGTCACCTCCGGAGTTCGATGCCCACCTCTTAGGCATTGGGCCGACACGCCATTTACTGTCGAGCACGGTATTGTTCTAGCCAGTTGCATGCGGCGAGAGGTATCCGTAAATGCCATAACGATTCAGCCTCTTACGGCATCTGGCTGCAATACTACATGAAATCCGGTTTTGAAAAACTCACTCTAACGAACGTACCACAGCGAACCAATATTTTTGATTGCTAGTCTAGTCGACGCGAACGAGCAGAAGCAGAAGACTACAGAAAAGCGACTGAAGGACAAAACTTAAAAACAGGCTACGTTTGATTATTTCAGGCTATATTTATAGGAAAATTATGAAGATAAATTTATCCATCCTAGATATTCTACATGCAGCAAAACTTTGTCTTCCAAAACATGCCAAAATTTTGAAACCTGCCAGTTAGGAATTTATGAACATATGATCGGCAACAATTTTTATTGCCGCTTTTTCGGTAGCCGCCAGAACGATATGAACAGCAGCCATCCGTGCCAATGCTAGCGAGGTTTTAATGAGACAGTTCTATGTCTGTGAACGGGCACAATGGAGTTTAATAAGGAAGTACAAAATGATCAGGTTGGTGGA